GGAGCTCTCGCTCACTCCCTCTTCGGCCTGAGCCTGTTGACAGCGCGCAGTGTTTGCAGACTTTCGTTTCGTTCGTGTGTATGCTGTGCCCGTCTCCTTTCCCCGCCCCCTCCAGTAGACGCGACGGCGCCCCCTCCCCTCCCTTCCCATCTCCCCTACGGACGTAATAGGCTTACTGAGAGTAACTAACTTCGTTACGCTGCCAGCATCACCAACCCATTCGCTTCATCCCATCTCCCGTCCCGTCGCTCGCTGTCACTGCCCCCCGCGATAGGGCCGGCCTGGCGATAGGGGCGTGGCGCAAGGCTGACGGCCGGTCCGGTCCTTCTGTCGCAGGCTGCTGACGGAGTGCATCGAGTACCAGGTGATGCACGAGGAGCCCGGGGCCGCCGCCGCGCTGCGGGAGCTGCAGAGCAACCCGCCGGCAGGCCCGGCGCCGTGCTCGGCCTGCGCGGCCTGCGCCGCCTGCTCCAACTGCCCCGCGCAGCACCACGACGGCGGCGGCGGCGCGGGCCTGGCCGCCCTGGAGGAGGAGCCCGAGGACGACGACGAGGACGACGAGGATCACCATCACGGCGACCGGAGGTGAGTGGGCGCCAACTTCAGGTGGATTCTATATATTTGACTCTGTCAAGACCGAGGCGCTTACGCACGCGTGATTTTTATGGGCGAAACGATAGAGCGCCCCCCTCACCCCATCTCACCCTCAGTCAGTCCTAAGAAGCCACCTGAAAGGTAGGCAATTTGGTGTGTACCAATCCCTTGTGTGACAGGCAGCCTGCAGGGCACCACCACCCCCTCTGCGTCGCCGTCCACCGAACCTACCCGACGCGAAAAGAATTGTTCGTTTTGTATGCTTTCGGTTGGCTATCGGTTTTATAAACCCGTGCCCCCTGGCCCTCCCGATTTCCTCGAAGCGTGATGGCCACTGTGGCCTCACACTGCTGGAAGGGAATCGGCGGTGAGAGGAACGCGTATAGAAATGGCGTTCAGAGAAAGGCTTGTCATGTTTCATTATCGCGAGTAGGTATCGCCGGGCCAGTGGACCGGATCCAGGCAACTGCTGCTGTTTGTCTTCCGGGCCGACAGGGGAGGGCGGTCTTTATAAGGTTTATTGGGAGAGAGCGGCGGTTCTGTGCTGCGGCCCAGCCTCGGCACACCAGGCAGTTGCTGTGGCCGTCCCGGTCCGACGGGCTCGTCACACGGTTCGAGGCCCGGCCCGGCCCGGCAGGCCCCCGCCAGTATCACTCGCCGCCAGCCGCCGCCAGTACTTCTGCTGTCGCCCCTAATCCCGGCACCCGCCCCGCCCCGTCGTGCGAGATCAGGGTGGCGCTGGCGCTGCGCGGCGCGGCCCGGCGCCGAGGTCTCTCATATCGGATTCAAAGCCAGCGAGCCGAAATTTCATTACTGTCTGCGGGTGGGCCGGGGCCGGCCGGGCCGCGCGGCCGGCGGGGCCCTTGTCCCATACCGTTTCGTTATTTCTATGGCACGTATAAAGCAACAGCGCGGGCCCGCTGCGGTGTGCGGGCCTCTGCCCCACCCCCTGCTGTACCCCTTCCCCCCCGCTCACCACCACCCCTCCCTCTACCGCCAACGCCACAGTTCAAAACGCGGCCGCGTTGACCGAGCTAACGGGTGGACGCGGAGGAGCTGGGCGGGTGGTGGCGGGTGGCTCCTGCGACGGTGGCCGTCATCGTTTTCTTGGCCAAATTATGTATCAGGAGAATAATTATCATTATTACTCAAGGGCTTCATTTTAATTAATGTGTCGCATCGTTGCGGCCCTTTGCTCGGCTCGGCTCCCCGCTGCTGCCTGGCGGCCGCGGCGTAGAGATATTAACAGGGAAATGGCAATAAAGCAGACGACACCGGGCCGCTCTCTGATTCAAGGCACGGCGTGGGAGCGGGTGGGGGTGGGGGAGGGGGTTCGCTGCTCGCTGCGCTTTGTGTGCGTGTCCCGGCGGGCCCCCGCAGCAGCAGCGGTGGCGCCCAGTTTCCCCTTTCCCACCTGCCCCTCCTGCGCCCCTCCTGCGCCCCTCCTGCGCCCCTCCTATGCCCCTCCTGCGCCCCTCCTGCGCCCCTCCTGCGCCCCTCCTGCGCCCCTC